ATAAATAAATAAATAAATAAATAAATAAATAAATATCCTGGCTGGACATCTTTCTCATGCCTTAATCTAATGATAAGTATTGGAGGGTGTGGAGATAAGTACCGCAGAGAGAAGCTAAAGACCTCATCACACTAGAGCATGTGTCCACTTTAAATCTGGTTTCTTCCTCCTGAAGAATTCTGGAGCTTGTAGTTTAGGAGAGGGGGCTTTAAGCCAGACAGGTCCTGGGCCTCACTAAACTGCAATCCCCAGAATTCTCCAGGAGGCAGAACCAGATTTAAAGTGGACCCATGCTCTGGTGTGATGAGACTGTTAGAGAGGCTTTTGTGTATTGCCCCCCATAAGACATCATTTCAAAAACAAAATTTATACAGATACTAGTTGTCTCCTGCCACGCATTGCTGTGGCCCAGTCTATGTATATGTGTTTTGTGTGTATGTGTGTATATATTTGTGTTTGTGTATGTATGTGGTTTTGCGCATGCATTGTAATGTTTTTTTTTTTGGCTTTTTAAGTCTCTTCTGCTGTATTTTTATGAGTGATGATCACTTGTTGGCCTGATAGGTGTATTGTGTTCAAATTTGGTGGCAATTCGTCCAGTAGTTTTTGAGTTATGTTAATACCACAAACGAACATTGCATTTTTATTTATATAGATGTTATCTACTCTTAATCCAAGACATAGAGCAAACAATAAAATGACACATTTGGCCAGGGAACTTAAGTAATAGGTACACTTTAAAAATCATATGATAGTTATTTTTCTTATTGGCTTTGCTCCAACCTCAGTGCCTCCACAGTGAGGTTTTGTCTCTTCAAGCAAAATATTGTTAGTTTCCAGATCACCCAAGAAGACTGCCTAGTAAAAATTTATACAATGCTTATATCTCTCCAGCCCACCTAATTGACCAATATAGGCATTTTTAATGTACACTTGGTAGCTGTTAATTTATTAAAGTAAGTTCCTTTGCCAAGAGACATGTTGTCTCCTTCAAAAGACTACGGGTGGAGTCTGAACACTGAAATGAAAACTCTGTGTAAGTCTTATGTGTAAATCATTGCAAAGTGCCATTACTTTAGCAAGAACTTGACTGGGTTTCATAAATCTTTTAACTTTGTTGAAAGCCTTTTTCCCTCCACAGTAACATGGGGAAAGCCAAAAGCAATTTATACCAGATTTTGTGACCCTTGACTTTGAAATATCATAATTTCCCAGATGCAAGACTCGTATGAGGAAAAAGATAGTGGGAGAAAGAATCTAGGATAAGCCAGAATTATTTCTCCTAATTTTCACTCTGAAGATTGCCTCTGGATTACAATGCTCCTTCTTATTATCCCTGAATTATTTACTGTAAGCCGAGCAATTGAAATTCTCCCACCGCCTAAATTATTTAGGCCATAAAAGTTTCGTGCTGAATGCTTTTGTGGTCATATTATGCATCCAACTCCTAAGTGAATAAAGTTAGCTTTCGTACAGTTACAGGAAACCAGGGCTAGAAATAATACACAGAGCTGCTCTCATTATCTCTTGAACCACAATGACGATGAACTGTTCATCAAGAAAATCCATTCATTATTGTGCTTCAATAAAAATCTAGAGTCTGTGAAAAACGGGCCCGTTTTTACTAATGAGAAGACAGAAATGATGGGCTTTTAAAAAATAAATGTAGGACCATCTTGCATTGGGAGAAAATATGGATCACGTAGAATTGAAACAAAAACTGAAATAGAAAAAAATGTTTTCTCCCTCTGATCTGGTCACTTTTTATTACCTATGGTGAAATAAATCCAAGCAATGCACTGAGGCAAATATCACACTATTTATTTATTCTATTTTTGTGTATTTTTATTAGCATATCAATAATAACAAAGGAGAAAGAAGAAGAAGAAAAGAAAGAAAAAAGAAAAAATGACCATACATGGAAAGTGGGAGAACATTCGCTTTATAGGAAAGTAAAAAAATGGAGAAGGAATATAGTGGTTGTAATGGCGAAAATCCGGGGGGGGGGGGGATCTGTTGACTTCCATTCTGTGCTTTGGCTGTTATTTTTTATCTATGCCTTCCTAACTTTATTAAAAATTAAAACAAAGAAGAATAGGTCTATACGTATATATTATTCGGGGAGACTGCTCTAAAAATTATCTTTCTAGTTCTTTTCTTTTTCATACTCATCAAAAAGTGTCCCGTCCGTCCTTCTTATTGGTCTTCCCGAATTCGACTTCAAAATAAAAGTTAATTTGTCCATGTCTCTAATTTCTCTTAATTTGCTTATCCAATTTTCCCTATCTGGAGTTTTATTTAGTTTCCAAAACTTCGCATACAAAATTCTTGCCGCCGTGGAGATATATGTAAATCAAATATCTTTATTATGATATAAGTTTAAGTCAGAGTCTGTAAGGCCTAAGAGACAGCATTCTGGTTTTCTTCCAAATTTAATTCCAAGTAGTTTTTGAGACTCCTTGTGTATCACTTTCCAGTATTTTTGGGCTTCTTTACAAGTCCACCATATGTGGAAAAAATTGCCCTCCTGATCTATTTATGTATTCTTGTTTGGCACATTGCCATTCGTATCTCTCAGTGAGTGGCTCTCATCCTCAGAGGAGCCAAAAATAATCCATTTGGAATCCGTAACCAGCCTTTATGAGGAGCCATATGATTTTATCAGCTTCATATATCCAATACCAGCTGCGGAATCCGGTTACTTATCATGCAAACATTGTTATGAAATGTTGCTTGTTATATTTAAAAAGGGGGTTTTACTATCAGTCATCGGAAGACTGAGAGGGGCGGTATACAAATATACTAAATAATACTAAATTTAAAATATTCTTTTTCACGATTCAGTGCAAGCCCCTTTTCCAGGATACATCATTTCATTCCTACTCCAAACATTTTTCTATCCCCCTCTATCAATAACCAGCCAGTTCATCCCTAGTCTTCCCAGGGCTAGTGACCCCAATTGAGACTTCACTCAGAAAGAGGGCTTTATTTGCTCTGCTCTTTCAGAAGTCTGTACAGTTGTACTTGGGGTATGCTCCCTTCAGGATTTTTTTTTCATGTCAGGAGCAACTTGAGAAACTACAAGTTGCTTCTGGTATGAGAGAATTGGCTGTCTGTAAGGACGTTGCCCAGGGGACACACAGAAGTTTGATGTTTTACCATCCTTGTAGGAGGCTTCTCTCATGTCCCAAATGGCAATCTGGAGCAGACATCAGGAGCTCAACCCGATCTCATATCTTGGGAGAGTGAGTTGAGCTCCTTCTGTCAGCTCCGGCGTGCTGTGCGGGGACATGAGAGAAGCCTCTCACAAGGATGGTAAAACATCCGGGTGTCCCCTAGGCAACGTCCTTACAGACAGCCAATTCTCTCACATCAGAAACAACTTGCAGTTTCTCAAGTCACTCCTGACATGGAAAAAAAGGATATTTTATGTTGGGAATTCATGTTGTGTTATATGAGATTTCCATCTACATCTTTTGTATTGTCATCTTGTCGCAACTTTTCAGGATGGTTGGTGATGTCCTGGAATAGGACATCATTTATCAGTTACATGTAGACATTGGTAAGGACTGAGGGGCCCCTCAAGGGACTCAGGGGGTTTGGGACAAAAATTGTCATACTTGGCTCAGGTCTGAATGTCTTTCCTGTACCCCGATTGGGAGGGGGACTATACTAGTGTGTCTGCCCATGTGGATCCCAAATCTGTCATTCTGATGATTTCAGCATCAGACCAGTTGGTAGGGCTCACCGATCAACAAGCAGGTTGGTCAATGCCTAGATCCAGACCCATGCACATGCCATGGATCTGGATCTAGCTATAACCAATAAAGGTTCTGCCCTACCTCATCCATTTATACATGTTGTTGATGAGTGATTTCAAGTGAAGTAGAATTCATGCCTGAACATGCAAAAAACTGCATTGAGTAGGAATGAAAGAATCCAACAGATTAAAACTTGACAGAATCTATCCTAGCTGGCTTCCCATAAATAGCCCAGGCTATGGAGACACTGGGCTGCTGGGTTCAACTTCCACATTCACCTGCCATGAATCCTGTTTCCAACACACATTCCTGTTCTTGAACATTCTTGACTTATCAGGCTGTCCTGTTGAACGCCCTTTCCCTTTTTATATATATAGATATTACATGTAATGTTACTAATAATATTACAATATAATGGTATAGTACAATATAGGGAGCCCCTGATGGTGCAGTGGGTTAAAGCACTGAGCTGCTAAGCTTGTTGACCAAAATATCGCAGGTTCGAATTTGGGGAACGGCGTGAGCTTCCACTGTCAGCTCCAGTTTTCACCAACCTAGCAGTTTGAAAACATGCAAATGTGAGTAGATCAATAGGTACCGCTCCGGTGGGAAGATAACGGCGCTCCATGCAGTAATGCTGTACACGTGACCTTGGAGGTGTCTACAGACAACGCCGGCTCTTCGGCTAAGAAATAGAGATGAGCACCACACCCCGGAGTCTGACACAACTGGACTTAATTTCAGGGGAAAACCTTTACTCTACCTACAATATAGTAATATTTAATACTGGTATTGTACTATGCTAATAATATAATATATTGTATGTATATATATCTTGTAAGCTGCTCTGAGTCCCCTTCAGGGTGAGAAGAGCGGCATATAAATGTTGTAAATAAATAAATAAATATTTGGCAGCACCTCTACATTATTTAGTGTTATAGTGTTGTACTGTGGGCTCTTGGTATCCTCTGAGGTTTGATTCCAGGACTCCCCGCTCTCTCCCGTGGGTACCAAAATATGTGGAAGCTCAAGTCCCATTATATACAATGGCACAGTAATATATATAATGGTAATATCTGTTTGTTTTGAGATTACTCTTAAACATTTTAAGTTAGCAGTGGCTGAATCCATGAATGCAGAATCCATGAATGCAGAGGGCTGGCTGGACCTTCTTCAGTACAGGTACCACATTAGCTTATTATATGCTGATGAGCAATGGTTCCATGAAATATGTATACATACATTTTTATTATAAATGAACTTTATTGATTGAATTAGAGAAACATGGTGGGTTTTTTCCCCTTGATATAAAACAATATAACAAACTGCTGTGTTGACATAATAAAATGAGGTGGTTGTGTGTATCAAGGCGCCATCCCTTAGCTCAGGCAGGTCTTGCAGCGTTGTAACCCATTCTCATTGCAAGCGATGCACTTTAGGGCTTTGAATGAGTCCGTAAAACAGTTCCGAAACACTGACATCTTGCTCCCATGGCACGCTGAGCACGGAATAAAACCAAAGCCCCCGCATGAGAGGCATTCATGGGGGTGTTGAACTTTCTGCAAAGAGAAAGGGGAAAGAAGATACTAGTCTCTATTATTGATATTGTGTTCTGCATTTTGAGGAGTGAACTAGATGTGACATTAATTGTGTTACTACAATTGCCTTGTTTGCATGTATATTAAAATTGCAACCACAAGAGTATTATTAATACATCTGTGAACATAGAAACTGCGAGGGGAAAGTTCACATCCTCTCCCTGCCATGGTTCTGACCAAATTTCCCCTCAGAGAGAATTTGAATTTCAAAGTAAAACTCCATTGGCATTGAATATGAGATTCCCTTGCAGTGCAAGGGAAATTGTTTTTGTCAAGGCTGTAGCAAAGAGAGAAAAGGTTAAATTTCCCCACCAGCTCTCCATAGCCCAAAGCTGCTCAGATGCCTTCACAGTTACCAAAAACTATGTTCAATAAATTTTCTTGACATTGATTGGAAAAACATCATGATGTTCATACAATTAGCGTCATATCTATGCCCTGAATGAGACCTCAAATATCAACGCTGTCTCTTTTCATCTTTGTACTGTACATATGTATGTATCTACTGCCTTTCTGCAGTAACTATATTTGCCATTTGGCCATTAATAGCATCATCCCATGGCCACCTAAGTACATTATGGTTGCAGTAGCTGATCTAACAAAAATATTACTCGGTTTGATATCACAGCAACTCACAATGGGATCCGAAGTGAATTTGGAGGCCCTTATTTATGGAAAACATTTAAAGCAGGGGTCAAACTAAGGCCTGCAGACCAGAAGAGACCCTCCAAGGCCATTTCCCTTGTCTCCACCCTAAACTTTAGACATTTACAAAGCCCTAAACGGTTTGGGACCTGCCTACCTGCCTGACCGCATCTCCGTATATGAACCCAAACGATCCCTCCATTCATCTGGTGAGGCCCTGCTCACGATTCCACCTGCGTCGCAAGCGCGTTTGGTGGGGACGAGGGACAGGGCCTTCTCTGTGGTAGCCCCTCGACTCTGGAACTCTCTCCCCAAGGACATCAGACAAGCCCCAACGTTGGCTGTCTTTAGGAAGAGCTTGAAGACCTGGCTGTTCCAGTGTGCCTTCCCAGAATAGGAAACTCCCAGCATCATGTCCCAAACGCACTTTATTAGAGATTTAAGATTGCCTGCACATCGCACCTAACCCTAAAATCCTTACACTTCACCTGTCATGTCCAGCACTTTTAATTTTAGTCATTACATTTGGCCCAGCCCTAGCTTTAAATGTGTTATGATGTATTGTTTTTAATGTTTTTATTGTTATTGCTTTTAATGTTTATTGGTTTGCTTTATGAGTTTTATTGTTGTATTTGTTATGCTGTTGTTTTATTGAGGGCCTTGGCCTTTGTAAGCTGCACCGTGTCCTTCAGGAGATGTTAGCGGGGTACAAATAAAGTTAATAAATAATAATAATAGTAATAATAATAATAATAATAATAGAGTCACCCCAAGTCTGAAACAACTTGAAGGAACACAACAATCCTGATTAATTTTGCAAGAAAAAATTAATACCAAGGAAGAGTTGGCATCCCCTTGTTACCTTTGTACCTCTCACCTAATGGGGAAAATACAGAGTTGTGCTGGTCAATGACTGAAATAAATGATTTGATTTGATTGAGAGTTGGCTTCCTCTTGTTCAGATTTTCATATATAGTTGTAATATGGTGAAAACAGATGCAGTGTTATTCATGGGAAAATTAACTGCATGAATATTGTTGTTGTTATTAGCTTAGGTTGTTTTATTGGCTTATTTTTAACTGTTGTTTCAAATATTTGTTTGTTTCTGTTTTATTTCAATTTGTCATTGCATACAAGATTGAATATTTGCCTTTTTTTTTGTCTTTGGAAGCCGCCCTGAGTCCCTTCGGGGAGAGACGGCGGGTTAGAAATAAAACATTAGTAATAATAAATAATATTTGTATATCGCTCTATCTCCCCGAGGGGTCTCAGGGTGGTTTCCAGCATAGGTAAAGCATGAGAGAAGCCTCCCACGAGGATGATAAAAACATCAAAAATCATCTGGGCATCCCCTGGGCAGGCCCGTAGCCAGGATTTCATTTCAGGGGGGGGTAATTTTTTTTCAGGGCTGAGTTTCGGGGGCGGGGGCTGAGTCTGAGTGAAAGAGGGTCTACCCTAGCAAACCTTTTGTATCATTACCCCAATACCCACATGCATATGGGATATATTGAGTATGGTGATCAGATCATGATATGAATAAACATAACAGTTTAAATAATGCACCAGTAAGGCCTTTTCGCGAACCACCATGAGAATTGGGGGGGGGGGCTGAAGCCCCCCAAGCCCCCCCCCCCGGCTACATGCCTGCCCCTGGGCAATGTCCTTGCAGACGGCCAATTCTCTCATACCAGAAGCGACTTGCAGTTTCTCAAGTCGCTCTTGACATGACAAAATAATAATAATAATAATAATAATAATAATAATAATAATAGTTATTATTTTTAAGTCGTATATATAGTGCGATAGGATATCCTGGTTGTGGCTTTAATTCTGTACTTGTCACTGTCTCCAATAATTTATTCCAGCCCAGCTGATATTTGCATTAGGAAGGAAATTCCCACTGGTTTCTTCCATTCCAACTTTCTTCTGAGATACTCTGCCTCTGATTTTTACTTTAAAAATCATAATTTAATAACTGTAAGAACAACCTAACATCTGTTCTGTCTCATAGGAAGGTAAACCCTTGAAAGCTTTGGTGTTAAAATCTTCCTATGCATGTAAATTCACACCGAGACAATTATACCTGAGAGTACTCAATTATGAGCTCATATTTCCCTCAAAGAAAGGAGAAGAAAGACAACACTCAGCTTATAAGCCTGCATTGTTAAAAAGCATAATTGCTGAAATGACGAGAATTGCTAAGAAGATCTGAGTAATCGCATGTCTGGAAAAATCAACTTGTTGGCATGCAATTGGTATCTTTATAATAGTAAAATAATAGCAGTAGTAGTAGCAAGGCTGTAGTACTACAGGGAAAACCAGCTGATCCCTAACCCATCTAAAACACAGATATGTGCCTTTCATCTCAAGAACAGAGAAGCATCCCGAGCTCTGAAGATCACCTGGGAAGGAATCCCACTGGAGCATTGCAGCACACCCAAATACCTGGGAGTCACTCTGGACCGTGCTCTGACCTACAAGAAGCACTGCCTGAACATCAAGCAAAAAGTGGGTGCTAGAAACAATATCATACGAAAGCTGACTGGCACAACCTGGGGATCACAACCAGACACAGTGAAGACATCTGCCCTTGCGCTGTTGAACTCCGCTGCTGAGTATGCATGCCCAGTGTGGAACACATCTCACCACACTAAAACAGTGGATGTGGCTCTTAATGAGACATGCCGCATTATCACGGGGTGTCTGCGGCCTACACCACTGGAGAAATTACACTGCTTAGCCGGTATTGCACCACCTGACATCCGCCGGGAAGTAGCAGCCAATAGTGAAAGGACCAAGGCAGAGACATCTCCAGCTCACCCCCTGTTTGGGTATCAGCCAGCACGTCAACGACTTAAATCAAGAAATAGTTTTCTAAGATCTACAGAGACACTCGCTGGAACACCTCAGCAAGCGAGAGTCCAAAAGTGGCAGGCTCAAACCCAGCACCTCAACCAATGGCTGATACCAAATGAGAGACTCCCTCCTGGGCACACTTGGGAGGCGCTGAACAGACTGTGCTCTGGCAACACGAGATGCAGAGCCAACCTTCAGAAATGGGGCTACAAAGTAGAATCCTCGACATGCGAGTGTGGAGAAGAGCAAACCACTGACCACCTGATGTAATGCAACCTGAGCCCACACGCACAATGGAGGACCTTCTTGTAGCAACACCAGAAGCACTCCAAGTGGCCAGATACTGGTCAAAGGACATTTAATCAACTACCAAACTCACAAATTTTGTATTTTGTCTGTTTGTTTGCTTTGTTCTGTTAGAAATGTAATATAATTGACTGGTTGCCTGACACGACAAATAAATAAATTAGACACCTGGTAAGATCCAGATCTTAGGTAAGATCTGGACCTTATCAGGTGTGGGCCCTGTGTGGATTGGCCTTGGGGAATGTGTTATGCAATCCCCGGTCCCAATCCAAGCCATATCTGTTTTTTCCGGGCTCCAGGAGCCCGGAAAACTGAGAGGGCACTCCCGGAAAACCAAGAGGGCACTCCCCAAAACCCCCAAATAAGCCCTTAAAATTTAAAACAACTGACTCGGCCACCATTAAGGTATTCCTGGAGTCTTCCTGGTGCATAATAATGAGAAACCAGGAGATGGGGAGAGGCAAGGACCGATTTTCCTTCTCATCCCCTACCCCCCTCCCCCACCTCCATTTCCTGGCATGTCATTTCTATGCACCAGGAAGACTCCAGGAGTACCTTAATGGTGGTCGGGTACGTTGTTTTAAATTTCAAAGACTTATCTGGGGAGGGGGGGGCTCTGGGTGTCTGGGTGCCATCTCGGCAGTTACCAGAATGGCATCTAGACATCCTGCCTGGGAAAGCTGGGTTTGGGGGTCCTTGTAGTTTTACACCTGTCTGGAAGCACCCTGAGACAACCTGCCAAAGATCTCTTGGCTGTTCAGGATAGGTTGCTGAAGGCATATAATGTAGCACTGGAGTGCAGTTCACATGTGAGTTGGACACAGGTATCCAGCGGGGAGGGTAGTGGATATGGGTAGGAGTAAAGATGTCTCTTCCCCACAAAGGGAGCCTCAAAGGAATGAAGGAACTTCATTGAGGCCTGAATCCAGCCAAAGAAATGTAAGTATATCAAATATATATTGTTATAAATTGGTTAGTTACCTCAATTTTGGTTAAAAGGTCTTGAAGCTCCCCTGATTCATTCATTGACAAAATTTTCTCAGCACCCTGTAAGGAAACAGGTAAAATATGTTAAGTTAATAACCAAAATGTATAAAAGGTTATTTGGAGAAATAGAAATGCCTATTTCCTTCCTATAAAAGAATGTATCTAATCATATTTTTATTGAACCTAGGATCATTAAGTAACAGTGTTCCATGAAGTCATGTTGGCCACGTGACCTTGAAGGTGTATACGGACAACGCCGGCTCTTCTGTTTAGAAATGGAGATTAGCACCACTCCACCCTCAGAGTTGGACACAACTAGAGTTAATGTCAAGGGGAAACCTTTACCTTTACCTATGATCATTAATCTCTCATATGTGTGTGTATATGTATGCATGCATAAATACACACACACCTTGTGGTAAATTATTACTGTGATATAAAAAGAGACAAAGAAGCATCGTGTTAATATTTTAGAAAGGCAGTATCTTAAATATATAGTGCATCAGAGAATGTGTCTCAGTGCATATGAGAAAAACAGTATCGCTACCATTGAAGCATTTCCAGCCTTCAAATCACACAGAGGAGCAGAATATATAACACCATGAGAAGACATGGGGTGAAAAATATCATAATGATGTGAAAATCAAAATTCTTCAGTGAATAATAAAAATAAATTAGACTGCGTACATTGTACCATGGGGAATATCTGAGCTATGAAGCAAGGCAGTAATGAAGAGGCTTTTCATTTTTCTTCTTGGAAGTACAAAAGGTTACTGCAAAGGAAATGAAACTGTCAGTGAAGATATAAAACTTTCCTTTGGCTCTTTTCACTAATGAGAGGACCTGTTGAATAACTGAGGGCCCTTCTACACATTGAGTAAAACCTGGAAGTAACCAGAATAAAACAAGAGGTGGCTCAATGTTTGGGAAAGTGCTGATGGAATCAGGTTAACAACTGAAAAGCACATGTTTAAAAAGTGCTCTTAAAACCCACTAGTCAGAAGAAACCTGTTGTCATCAGATAATCACATCCGATTGACTAGTAAAAATGTACACCTTTGCATGATTGTATATCTCGGCAGTCATGCAAAACACATGACTTCCTTCCTATAACCCTAGTGTGGACTTTTGCAGCACATGTGTGCATTTTAAAAGCCCAAAGCAGCTGATCGGGCTGTCAAAAAATGGAGGCACGGGAACACAGGTGGCTCAAGGGAAGCAGAATAGGAAAGCAATTAGAACTCTCTGCAACCATTCCTTTCTTTTGATCTTTATAATATCAAACAGAGCTTGAATTTAGGGTTGGATGAAGAGAGAGAATAAGAACTCTACTTGTGTGAACATTTGGATCTCCGTATATGTGCATATGAGGTCTGATGCATCTTGGAGAGGATTTTTTTAAAAAAACTTCTTCCAGATGTCCCCCCTCCATCTTGATCTGCTTCAAAGGAAGACATGAGAACCATGGGAGACCATTTGCCAGGGCGGACAGGTCTGTGTGGACTTGCTGTCAGAACTCAGGATTTTTTGCCTCAATTTTTAAACCCACGTTTTGATGCTGTCTGGAAGCACCCTGAGCAACACTACTGAGGATTTGTATATCATGTATTGTGTAAATAATTCTGCCAGAATAGGCCTTTTTTAGCACGCTATGTGAAAAAGTTCATTTATTCATATCCACTAGTCAGAGCTAACCTGTTGTCATCACATAATCACATCAAATTAACTAGTAAATAATGCCTTTTTATTCATGCACTCTAAATAGAAAAAATACTGGAATGGGAAGGAAAGCAGCAACTGGGTAAACACCAATGCCCAACAGCATTTTATATATATATATATATAATAACAACTGAACTATTTTTCAGGGTTTTCAGAATAAATAATTGACCTATTATATTATTCATACATCTGCATAGTTCACACATAAAAGTGAGCTTTCTAATCTGTTAGATTTAGTAACTTTGTCTATGCCTACACTTTGTACTTACTTGTTTGCCTGTTACTTTATAGGAATTTAGGGACAACATATATTTATTTGCTTTCACGCCCACTTTGTTCTTGAACCACTCCAACCTCTCTTCCATTAGAATATTGTTTTCCTATGCACAATTGATCACAAATAAAGATACATCTTGTACATTTTACAAAGAATATTAAGCATCTTTTTTTCTTTGCTAGACCCTGAGAGTGGGAGTGGGTGTGACTGTTGTTCAGCGTCTACTTTGCAAGTTTATTTGTCTGAGATATCCACTACTATTTCTCCCATTTTCATCATAATCTTGACATATAAAGATGTACAGGTAATTAGACCAAACACTATACAATTGCTTTATGGATTAGCTTACTTCCAGAATCAGAACAAGTATTTGCTTCGAAATCAAAATGGACAATTCATGTTTGGTGAGCTGTGCGTTGCTACTACTTTTACAGCTACAGAATTACCAATACCATTATTCACATTCATCCATGTGAGACATCAATACACACACACACACACACATATATATATTTCCTTTCTTGTCCTGTTTCTTTCTTTAACTACAATATGGTAAAAGTCACTCTGCTTCAGAGATAGAAAAGTTGGTAGGAAAGTCTTAGGCCCCTTCCACACAGCTGAATAAAATCCCACATTATCTGCTTTGAATATATGGCAGTGTAGACTCAGATAACCCAGTTCAAAGCAGATATTGTGGGATTCTCTGCCTTGATATTCTGGGTTATATGGCTGTGTGGAAGGGCCCTTAATTCATAGTTTAAAAGCTAAACCATCTAATTCAATTGCAACTGAATTGGAATTAAGTTAATGCTAAAATACTGTAGTGATGTCAGTCATTTTCATTAAAATGTAATTTGAATTAAATTACTGCTGTACATTTTTAAAATGTCCAACTTAATTAATGTTAACTAGTGGGGTTTTATATCTGCTTTCCCATGCAGTCACACAGAGTTATGATACGAGGGATAGTCTTCCATTCAATAGCAACAGAGAGGGCTTGCCACATTAGCTACAAATTTTGGCAGCATTTGCAATGGTAGCAACAAATGTAGAAGCAGACACAAAATTTGAGTTGTTTGCCCTTTTTAAAAAAAGACAGGATTTTTCTATGCCTCTGTATATAGTGAGACTTGACCATTCATGGATTTTGGTGTCCATGGGTGGTCCTGCAGCTAAACCCCAACAGACACCAAGGACTTAATCACACTATATCATCGGATCTCATCACATTGAGGTCCCTAATGTAGGGGACAGTGGGGAAATTCGCCATGCAACATGGCAAGTCCATGGGGCAGCGGGGGGAACTGTCTTTCCATGCCCTGCATCACCTGCATTGGTGCCTTCCCCATCACATGGGGGAATTGTCACCTCCTGGCTTCCCCCTATGTTGGTCCCATTCTACATAATGAATACACAGGAAGCCACCTGTGTTCTCGGGGCTAAATCCTAGGATGCTTCCAGGACAACCCAGGATGGTGCCCCACCATAAGTGTGAAGGGCTCCAGTGGGATCCATCCTGGAAGCATCTTAGAATGGAGACAGAAGTCCATGTGGTATGGTTCTAAATCCAGTTACTGCCTTCTGAAGAATTCTAGGGTTTATAGTTTAGCGAGGGGCTTTTAAGCTGCTCAGCCAGAGAGGTCCTGGGCCTCACCAAACTACAAACTCTGTGTGCCATATTTGGTTCAATTACATCATTGGTGGAGTTCAGAATGCTCTTTGATTTTAGGTGAACTATACATCCCAGTAAGTACAACTCGCATATGTCAAGGTCTATTTTCCCCCAAGAGCACCTCAAGAGTGCCCCTGGGCAAAATCAACTATACTGCGAATGCTTACTTTGCGTAATGGTTGAYCCGCCCCTGAGTACACCCCCCCCCCTTGTATGAAGGTCAGTCTATCACCCTGTCTCTCTACAAGTTCTCACTCACAAACAATTCTGCTCCTTTATCTCACCCTGAGTTTTTAAATCATTTTATGTACATGCAGCCCGCTTGCTGTCARTATGTTTGGTTTACTCCTTTTTTTGTATTTTGTTTATTGTAGTCATATGTTCGGAGTCTTACTGCGATGTTGTTTATTTTATTGTAACTTGTATCTTATTTTATTGTAATTTGTTGTTTGGGRTTGGCCTCATGTAAGCCATCCCGAGTCTCCGTTGGGGAGATGGTGGCGGGGTATAAATGATGATGGTGAAGATGATGATGATGATGATGATGATGATMATTATTATTATTATTATTATTGTGCTTGGKTGGGCCTGGGACATCATAGGCATGCCTAGAGAAGCAGTTTAGTATGTCTTGTTGGCTTTAAAACAATATACCTAAGTAAATACATTTTGAGTTGTTTTGATCATTTGTTATTGCCCCCCCCCCCTTTCTATAATATGTTTAAATAACTTGACTGTGTTATGCGTCAACCTTTACCTTTACCTAAATCCCCGAGTTCCTTTTTTTCTATGCTTTGAAAAGTTGCGGTCTTCTTTATTACAGTTCCCAAAATCTAGTCTGTGGGCATTTTGGCTGGGGAATTCTGGGAACTTTTATCCAAAAAGTAAGCTTGCCAAAGTCTGCTTTTTATAACAACTATCCAAGCTGGAATATTTAAATGTAATATGTTTCATCATTGCCCCAGCAGAGGGCATAATTCATTTTCAGATAAGCAGCTCCAACTACTATGAATGTTACATTAGTAAATATAGATAGAGGTAGGCTCATGCCATGATACTGTTTATCTCTATTTGGCTGTGGACTGAACAGCATTGCCAGTCCCTTAAAGAAAAGAAAAACACTAGTTGATCAATCTTATGTGTTTCAGTTTATATATTGTTGGACTATATTGATGGCAAAACAAAACCACAGCATCGGTATCTCCTTGGGATATTTAGGAAGAATTGAAAGCTTTACAATGTAATAAAAACTGCAATATGTTCTTAGATGGAAAGATCAATCAAATAGAAATGTAACCTCAAAATGAATGCATACAATAGGGGAGAGTAGATACTTGCAGCTAATTTCTACTGACAGCAGGTTTATTTTGTTTTGTTTTTTGCCGTGTC